GGTATAACATCAATGACAGGACTGGGGAACACAGGACTGGGAAGCACTTAGATATAAGACAGGCCAGCAGTGTTGGGCATTTCAGCCCAGAAGCTACAAATCCAGATTTTTTTTCTACCAATGAGTTGAGTACTCTGTGACTGTGACCCTTTATGCTCATCTGGTTGATAGAAACAAAACCATTTTCAGGACTTGTAGCTACAAGACCTGAAATGCCCAAAATTGTAGATGAGGGATTAACTGGAGTGATTAACACAAGGGCAGGAACGAGAGGTAAGACCAACGATTAACAGACGTGGCTTGTTAGTGTCATGCTAAGAAGGAGACAGGAGGATCAGATGGGCAGGATTTTACAGTACACTTAACCTCAGATAAGTGGCTTCAGACTGCTACCACAGTTTGTCTCCATTTCTTGAGATGTTGCTGAGCACAGGGATATCACTAAAACTAGGGCTGTTGGCTCTCACATTCTGAGCACGAGAAGCATGCATTTTAACTTCCTCACACCATCAAAATAAAACTAACAATTTTGCTACAATCACTCATCCCCACCCAGCCAGCAATCTAAATTCTACATGGGGCTTTCCATAAAAGTTGACATCCCAGCTAAAATGCCATAGCTCTAATGTGCAAATGCTATGCTCTTTCAGGCCCCTGGAAGAGGTCTGCGGAGGGTGGAACTGGCTAATGAGTGCAGCTGAATGATTTATTCATTCTGAACATTGACATTTGCTGCCAAACAGGATGCAAATGCAGGATGGGAAGTGAGGCTAATTTCTCTGCCCGCAGAAGCATGGACTCATGGGGGATGTTCAATGAATTCTTAACGAGCTCCCTTCCACAATTCCAAAAGGCTGTGAGATGATTGGGTTGTAAGTATTACAGTCATATACCAATGATGCCAAGAACCTTTCCTACTCATCACTGCAGTGATCTGCTGTAGCCAGCTGACCCTATCTGTTACAGACAGTGATTTTTGTGTGTCTTTGGGGGAGGCTGACAATATGCTGGCTGTTAATTGTACTTCTGTAGGGTAAAATGGGACAATCAGAATATATCTCAATGAAAAATAAAGGAGAAAAGAAGTTGCTCGTCACTGGAGGGGAAGCTAGCGTGCTGTAAATGGACATGTGGCACAGAAGTTTGTTGGATAAAATCCCAGGAAATAAAAATCCTGAAATGTAAGTGCTCCAGTGGAAAATACAGTCAGGAAAGTCAGGTATAGAGATTAAAATGTAAACTATATGCATCTTAAGTCACTGTGTAAGCACATCTGGTGGAAAAAAAACACATCCTGAAACAAAAGAAGATTGACTGAGGTCAGGAACTCAACACAATCTGATGCCTTGCTGGTAGGTGAAAGTATTCTGTTTATGTTTTCTAGCCCTCTGAGCCCCCTTGGGGTGGAGTAACTGGTTGTAACTGAATGTTAATTTAATTTCAGGCTACTTTGTTTCACACCTCAGAGTCTGTGTCAAATGCCATGTAATGCCTTTCAGTGTCATGTTCAATTATAAATTAACAAAATGTGTCGGGGTGGGACTTGGAGAAGAATCATATGTCTCTGCCCCTCAAAACAAAACCCAAACAATGACCACCTCCCCATCCCCTGGGGATGGACATATTGCATACAGATGGCACATGGCATAGTGGCTAAAGGGGAGGATGAGGAGGTACCGCTTTTCATCCAGAGATGCTGTTATTGTTTACTCATAAACCCATGGGGCTGTGTAACCAATCAAAGTTCCCATGCTGAGACCCTGTCCATTGCTGAAGGTGCCTACAATGGGGATGTGAGCATCAGAAATGGTCCTTGAAAGAATGTGGCCTTGTCTGGCGAGTCATATTTTCTGTTACATCATGTGACTGGCTAAGTGTGAGTGTATCATTTACCTGGGGAATAGATGGCATCAGGATGCACTATGGGAAGAAGACAAGCTGGCACAGACAATGTGATGCTCTTCCAGGAAACCCTGGAACCTGGCATTCATGCGGATGTTACTTTGACACCTACCACCTACCTACACATTCTTACAGACCAGTATACCCCTTCATGGAAATGGTATTCCCCAGTGGTGGTGGCCTCTTTCAACACACTACAAAATGGTTCAAATTCCCCAGATCTCAGTCAGATCAAGCATATGTGGGATGTGTTGGACAAACAAGTCACATCCATGGAGGCCCCACCTCACAACTTGCAGGACTTAATGGATGTCTTGGTGCCAGATACCACAGGAGACTTTCAGAAGTCTTGTGGAGTCCATGACTCAATGAGTCTGAGCTGTTTTGGTGGCACAAGTGGACATGGGTGACTCATGAAGAAATTAATGCTGAAATGAATCTAGATAGATAGATAGAGATACTTTATTCATCCAGAAGGAAATTTAGGTGTCCAGTAGCTTATACACAGTATACATACATATAGGCGCTCAGACCTATGACATTCACGCATACATACATACTGCAACAGTACAAGGGAAAATAACAGGAGGGCAGTGTGCTATACAGGCCTAAACACTTAAGTCCATCACACTCCTCCCTTCACTGTGATGTTGATGAGCTGTATGGCCCTAGGGACAAAGGACCTTCTGAGCCTGTCTGTTCTGCATGACAGAGACAGGAGCCTATCACTAAACATGCTCCTCTGTTTGGAGAAAGTCTTGTGCAGAGGGTGACGGTCATGGTCCAGTATTGAGAGCAGTTTGCTTAGAGTCCTCCTATCTGCAGCTGATGTCAGTGACTCCAGCTCCATGCCCACCACAGAGCTAGCATTTCTCACCAGCCTGTCCAGTCGTCCAGCATCCCTCTTCCTATTGCTGCCTCCCCAACATACCACAGCATAGAAAAGGACACTGGTCATGACAGACTGATAGAACACAAGCAGGAGTTTGCTGCAGACACTGAAGGACCCCAGCCTCCTAAGGAAGTAGAGCCTGCTCTGTCCTTTCTTGTAAAGTGCTTCAGTACTGGCAGACCAGTCCAGTTTATTGTCCAGGTGAACCCCCAGGTACTTGTATGTACTGACAGTCTCCACATTCACCCCGTCAATGGTGACAGACGGCAATGGAGGGGCAGTCCTCCTGAAGTCCACCACCATTTCCTTCATTTTGGTGATGTTCAGCTGCAGCTGGTTGGTTCCACACCATCCCACAAAGTCCTCCACAAGGCTCCTGTACTCAGCCTCCTGCCCATCCTTGATACAGCCTAAAATTGCAGTGTCATCAGAGAACTTCTGCATATGGCACGACTCAGAGTTGTACTTGAAGTCCGTGGTGTACAAGGTGAACAGTACAGGAGAAAGAACAGTTCCCTGTGGTGCCCCAGTACTCCTGGCCACAACCCCAGATGTGATGTCCCCCAGTCTAACAAACTGGGGCCACTCAGTGAGGTAATCGGTAATCCAAGTCACCAGGCTTGGGTCCACTCTCATCCGCAGAAGTTTGTCTCTCAACAGAAGGGGCTGGATGGTGTTGAAAGCGCTGGAGAAATCAAAAAACATGATTCTCACAGCACTGCCTCCATTGTCCAAGTGAGAGTACAATCTGCATGTTGGTATGCAATTATATTTTTTATATCATTACACTATGATATTATGTCTGATAAAGTGTGTATGCTCTCATAAGTTAACCCAGTATTTGCAGTAACTATTCAATATACCCATGAGTTTGTATACATATACATACATTTATATTCATAGCAGAAATTTGAACCCTGGTTCCAGAGGTGTCAGGCAGCAGTACTAACCACTATGCCACAAAATACAAGACTTTTGACTATTTTGAATGCAGCCATGGGTTTTTATAAAATTGTTTCCCCTTGTGGGAACCAAAGAAATTGTCCTTACAATGTCAAAATAACATGTTTTTATGTCAATGTTGGGACCAAATGTCCCCACAATGTAATATATACATAACCTACACACACACACACACGCACACACACCATTGAACTGCCTAGGATGGACTCCAAGTCTCCTCACAGTACCGACCTGGATAAGAGGATGAAGAAGGGATAGCTGGATGGATGAATGCATGTATATAAATTCAGCAGTTAATGGAATAAATATTGTAATTTATTATGTAGATCTATGTTACAGTATGTGGGATGATGTCTTTGATCAAACATAGGCAGACTGGGCAGAAATAAACAGCCATTCATTCCAAGTTAAAATCATATGCACTTATACTAAACATTATAATGTGTTCACATAACTGGGTATTTTTGCTGCACTTGATAAGTACCATGTTCAAGCGTCAAACCAGCAGGCCCCCCCTGAGATTTGAGGAAACAGATTTGACAGATTTGAGTTTTTTAAGTATTTGTTGTTCTGTAGACGTACTTAAATTGCTTGCTGTTAAATACATGGCACTTCACCTTAGGGTTTCCTTAAGGAGGGGATAAAACATTCAGAAAAAGCAAGAATAATTTCAGATGAATTTCATGTTGATTTTTCATGAACAATGAAATTGCACCATGCAAAAATGGTGAAAAATGAACCATGCATCAACAACATTGTTTACCAGAGCCATAATATAAACAAAACAATTATTGTGTTTTTAAAATGTTCTTTGCACTGTGTCCGTGTGTGTATGTGCGTACAGTCCCCTCTGTTTTCCACTTAGAGCAGACACTTCTCAGTAATAAGGAAAAGACATGCTCAGTGTTCTCAGGGCGTTATGAACATAACGTTGTTGCCAGTGAAACTCTATACGTTTAAAGAATGGTGGATTTATCAGCCATCTCTCCTAAACCATAGTTTTTAACTGCCGCAGGTGAAATAATGAAACCCGAAAAGAAACACTACGGTTTCCGTAGGCCACCACTCTGGCAGAAAATCGAGTTGGACACGCCCTCTATCCAATGGGGAAACGCGCGTGCCTTCTGTATAAACGTATCAACGACCAGTGGGCGGGGATTCAGGATGAAAGGGAGACACGCATTGGTCACTCCAAGGTTTTGTGGGTTTTTTTTCCTCCTATTATTTATTTTATTTATTTATTTATTTTTCGAGGAGGCTATAGCAAGGAATTGAAGCCGTAATTTAGAGGTGCCATATAGTTGTCGGTTTTTGCATGTTAGACGCACTAAACGCAAAGCAATTCTGCATGAATTTTGGAGACATTGAGAGCGCCGCTGGATGTAGACCAAATATCAAAGCGTTGGATTTAGGTGACGTCAAAAATACATAGGGTTTGTAATTACCTTCGTAGGGGTTAATGAAGCGCTATGTCGTGAGTTGAAGGGTCTCTGAATCAATTTTAACTGGATTGGAAAAGACACAAGCCCTGTGTAGAGGAAATAAAAACCTGTTTTTAAAATGAGATTCCGAAATCGGCGATGTTGAAGACGGAGATGGTCAATTCAGCTGCTTTATTTAAATTATTAGCCAAGTCTTGTATAATTTACTTGTTTTTACTGCCGATTTGCGATTCTTAGATGGAAACAACTTTGGTAAATTTTTGTCCTGTTAAAGCAATGGTTTATGTTTTATATCTATTTTATTACGAAATCGTACTGGAATGACGACTGTCACTGACACTGATTGCCAGCGATAACATTCGTCTGTAACCATTATTGTTAAGCTGATTTTAACTTTGTTATTCATTTTATTAGCAGAATGGTTTACCCGCGTTTCTCTAAGCCTCTAAAGCGAGCGATTTAGTGTTTTCTCTGACCCTCAAACTCAATAAGCAGTAAGATCAGAGAGGACGCGTACACTGATTTGTAAGCAGTGGAGATGGGCGAAGTATGAAATAAAGGAATTTAAAGATTTTGATTAAAACGCTGTACTCCACAAAACTACGGCATTTAATAAAATACACCAGTTTTACAAACTCACAACGTAGATTGCCTTCGAACAAATACAGATTTAAACAGCATAGCTTAGGTTCAAATGTTTGTCTAATAACCAGCCAATAATTGTTAAGAGCGCTATTCTAATTTTATTTTTACATGATCGTTCTAATATTCCAGCAGTCTCTTTAAAAATACATGGATTCTGTCACCTCAGGATAGCAGCAACAGACACATTTATTTGGTCCATCGTTTGAAGGTACCTCCCGCGAAATCCTATACTCCACGTTTTTTCTTTTATGAAGAAAAGGAAGCTGCAGCCATACATATAACTGGTTTCAACAGAATCTAAGATGCTTTTCTCAGCCAGAACTATGGGCATGTACGCACTTCTTACTGCCTGGATGCTCTTTGGTGAGTATTTGCATAATACCAGCCGTTTATAAATAACTTCTTGTGGTAACAGTACCAGTATAGCTCATTTTATGACGAGGTTTCACTTCATTTAATGAAGTAAAATGGGACATGTTTTATTGAATGACCTTATCCATGTCATTTAATTTAATTTCATTTAGTCGTGCACCGAACTTTGCTTTACTTTCCGACCAACCAACTGGTTACTATATTCAACATGCATGAAAGTCTGGGTAAACAGTTTTGCAAATCTTTAACTGTTTATGAAGTGTCCATATTATTTGCCATGGCTTAGTTATTCTTACATTTTTTCCGTATTCTTTGCTTGACGCACGCAGTGTAACTAAAATGGTGTTAATGTACCTGAATACCCCCCATCAAATGTAATTTATAGTCGAAATCAACGGAGATGTCAAGATCCCCGCATAAGAAAATTTTAGCTATGAGCGTAAATGAATAGGGCCTATTCGATCTGAAGTGCTTTGCCTTTCAGTCCTCAGCAAGCAGCCGGGCTTTTACTGAATGCACTTTTCTAGTTGTGAGATGTATAAGTGCAGCATGCTTTGGTAAGCTTAATGAATTAGAAACTGTCTTAATTTTTATATTATTATTCTTAAAGCAATGGAAGTTTCTGGACTGAACAGATTATCTATTTTAAAATTTGTGGAGTGTTTAAAGTGTGGAATTAGAAAACCGACTGAAATTTATGCTGTGCTTTTACGTTAAACCATGGATATTATCGGCACTTAATCTACACTTATTTTAATCTACACTTATTTTAAGGATGAAGGTTCTGTATGTTTCTGCCTCGATTCTGAGTGTATTCTTGTACATAAAGGAGGAAAGGAACAGAGGATTTAAACAGGTAAATCTGGGGATGAGAAGCTGGGGTCAGCAGAGATAAGCAAAGAATGTGATGATGATGATGATGATGATTATTATTATTTCACTGTCTGACTAAAACAACACAGAATGTAGATTAATTAGATCATGGTCTTTTAAAAGAACATACTTCAGCTTTCCGTCAAATTGTCCAGAGTGCTTAATAAAGAATAATAGCTGTCTTGTAGCAGTGGTGTAATTATTCATAGCTGGCAGGATTGTAATGAATGAATGTCCCACTTCGCCACCTGGCATCAGTGTGCTGCTGTATACCCACACTGTAATCTGTGACTATTGTTTGGTGTCTCTAACAGTTTCACAGCAAGTATCTCAGGTTATGAAAAATGCAGTCATTGGCTGTGGGTGGTGGTGTCAGAGAGACAAGAGGGGTGTGTGTGTGTGTGTGTGTCAGTGTGAGTGACCCTGCAGTACTGTACCTGGAGGTCAGACATTAACACAGAAAGGTATTTATTTAATTATGTTATGCTGAGCCTAACAAGGATGTAGAGAAAGGCATATGTGATTAACTTCACTCTTATTTGGGAATTAGGTATATATTTCAGTTCCACAACCTAGCGTCTATTGTAATGAGTCCCAGCTTGGTTGTTGAGTCACTGAATGGTGCTGGACTTCTGGTAAAGCCATCTCACTGTCACAGAAGTGCCTCTTCCTAAGAATGTCAGCCCACAAAACCAGTGTTGCCTGCTGGCATTGCGAATCATGGTGGGATATGAGCTTAACTTGCCAGATCCCAGTCTTGGTGTATTATCTGTGCCTGTCTGTCTTTCTGTTCTTTATTGTTCATTTCAGAGCAGCCTTACTTGCACATTCCAAAACATTCACAACAATTACTGTGTCTTTATCTGTCTCTCTATCCACTGGAACAGATTTAGCTCACACAGGTGATTCCCCCCTGTTTTTATATGCCTGTTTAGTCAGTTTTGTGTGTGCGTGCGTGTGTACAGTACGTGCATTTGTGTGTGAGTGAGTGCACCTGTGAAGCAGAAAAACAGCATTTAATACCCTTATTTTGTCCAAAAACTTATTTACTCGTTCCCATGCCATCTCAGTCTACTGTCTAGAAAAGACCATGCAATGGGAATTGGTGGCCACAGCCACCATTATTGTGGAATAAAGATTTTATCTTATTTATGAACCAAGATGGCATTGGACTACTTTCTCCGCTGCAGGAATGTTCACTTTACAAAATGTGGGATTTTATGAAAGAGACCCTTTTCACATGACGTCAGGCAACTTCTGTTCTGACTTATCTTTATTTCCAGTTTACCCTAGCACAGGACTGGAACACTGGAATACAAGACAGCTCAATGCTAATAAAGTAAAAAAAGGTAAACTTGAGAATACTACTTTCTCATGGATTTCACCCATTCTCTGGTGCTTCTGCCATGAGTACAGCTAGAAGATGTTAAACAGATTGCAGACATATTTTCTTTAAAGAAATAGTCCAAACTAGACAATGGCTACATACTCTTTATCGAACAGTATCTGATTGATTATGAAGATAAGTGTTTTCAATTGTGTTAACGAAGGTTAAAAAAATAACTATTTAATATTATCAATGTTTTACATTTCTGTTTTGCAACTAAATGCTATTTTGGTCGTATTATTGATTAAGGCAAAAGTCAGTAATCACCAAAATTATAACTACATAGTGAAGTGGGTTTGTTTTTTTTGGTTTGTCTTTTGTTGTGTTGCAATTGCAGTATGCCATGAAGTTCCACCGTGGTTCAGTGTGATGTCAACCTAAATGCGTGCAACAGCAATTCTTTGTCTCTGTCAGCTTACACTTGATTCTGACGCATTTCCTGTGCTACTGAAGTTCATGTCATACTCCTGCGCAACTGCAGCAAAGCAAAAAACAAATTAAACCTTCTTGTTTTTCCTCATAATACGACCAAAATACCATTTAGTTGCAAAACAGAAAGCTAAAACATTGATAATATTAAACGGTTATTTTTAGCTTTCGCTGACGCATCGGAAAATGCTTATCTTCATTCAATGATGAATTTGTAGCCCTTGTCTAGTTTGGACCGTTTCGTTACGGAAAACAAGTCTGCAATCTGTTTAACAACATCTAGCTGTACTTATGGCATATGCACCTGAGACTGGGTGAACATCATGAGAAAGTATTATTCTCAACATTTATTTATATATTTTACTTGATTAGCATTGAGCTTTCTTGTATTTCAGTGTTCTGGTGCAGCGCTAGGATACACCAGAAATAAAGATAAGCTGCTTCGAGTCTGAACAGAAATTGTTCGACGTCAATGTGAAAATGGTCCGTTGGTTTAATGTCTATAGCTGGACCATGAACACCCCTTCTTCAATCCTTTGTAGTTTGATCAGTCTTTTTACATTTAAGGCTTATTGCTGGAATCTTCAATTAAAACATTTTTTCCTCCTCACAAAATATTTTTCATGCTGGACCATGTGTTTATTGGAAATTTTGCATTGATGTTTTTCTTTAGGTCCATTTACATTTTTACTTATTGTTGAAATAGAAAGTAAGTAAACTTGAATTGTGGATTAGAGGGCCATTTGTACAAATGAGTTTTGTCTGGGTGGAAATAAATCCTTTTTTGAGAGGTTTAGTAACATCCTTGGGGGATCTTACAGATGATACCCATAGCTAATGGTTAGGTAGTAAAATTCACAAGTAGTCACCTGTGCTGGGGCCTCTTATGGGGTCAGAGGTGCTTGTTCCCATCTTGTCAATGATGGTGGATTGGTTTAGATCACACTGGGTTAACTGGGATTTATTTAATGCATTTAAATTTATACTGTAATTGCTTGTTTTATTATCCTTTCTGGCTGTGCAAAAGTATAAATTCGTTTAAATGATGGATGGTTACAGTTTAGGCTAGACAAAAAAGTATAAATAAACCTATACTCTGAGTGAAGCCTTGTCAGTTTCTGTTGTCTCAGTGCTGTGTTTGTGAATTTGCTGTTGGCCATTTTTTTAACAGTTTTAGATTTAACTGGCAGTTTTTTCTGCTGTGTTAAACTTAATCTTAAGCCTATGTATATATGTGTGTGTGAAAGGGTGGAAGAGGGAGGATGTAGTGAAAACCGTAGCACCTCTCTTCTCTACTCCTTTTGTAGCGGGAATGGTGTGTTCTGGCTCAACCCCTCTGTAAATATTAGCCCATCATATGAAAGGCTTCTGGCACCATTGTGCCTTGTTTTGATCACCTTGCTAAAGGCCTGAGGTTTTTAAATCGCTGCCGAGAGGAGCAGCTGCAATTCCAGTGCTTTTAAGGAAGATGGAAGAAACTTTGTGTTAATGCCCACTGAATCCTGGAGCTCTGAGGTTGCCATTTAAAGTAGATTCTAAACATAATTAAAGATCCCAGTAGGATTAAACAGGGTAAACATTACCTATTGTTTAACCTTAAAATTCTGTCAATAGATCCAGAGGTCACAGACAGGGCATGTCAACTGGAATATCTTGTGGCTCTCTAAGCAGTTACCTGTGTATCCTGTGTTGGTGAAATGTGTCTTTGGTTTGCCTCAGGAGAGCCTTGTCATGCTTCCTTTTGTTTTGTTCTGGTGGCTTATTAACTTTTCAGCCCCTTCAGATGTCAAGGACAGTCCACAGCTGCTCCAGTTTAAATGAAGGCACTCTGCATAAAAGGGGAAAAAGGTGAAAATTTATTAGTGGAAGGATGCTGTGCCTCACCTAAGTTTGTTTGGGGTTCAGGATACCTCATTGCTTTCTCCTGGGAATGTCAATGATTAGCTGAAATGTTAATGGGTGAGTTTCCTGAAGCCAATCTTTAACATTCCTGTATAGTTTGCAGTTAAATGCATGAAGGTGTCGCTCTGGTTGATAACACACACATACAGAGTTGGCCGAACATGGCATATGCTGCAGTTGAAGGCATTTCGCAAGCTGCTTTAGTAAAAGTAAAAAAAAAAAAAACTGGCCGTTTGGAAGTATTTTGCAGATGAGCATGGAAAGGCTAAGGATGTCAATAAGGACGGTGGCCGAGAAAGGCCAATGAAAATCAACATAAAAAACACACATCTAATAGAAAAACACATTGCAAAACAACAAAGCATATTATTGAAGTTCATAACACATTTGCAAACACACT